AAGTTAGTCTTCTCTAAAAAATATTACTTGAGTAAAAGTCTTAAAGTATCAGAAATTTTTTGTATTGAAATATCAAAAGTAAATTTCAGACACAAAAATCTACTCAAGTCTTAAAAGTAAAAGTATTGAGTAAAAGTGAGCAGTTAGATTTTCCAAAATGACGTTTCTTGGGAGGTGACTTCTTCAAAAATATTTTTGATGCTGGGTTGTGTACAAGCTAACAGGGTGACAGAATGGTATATATTTATACTTCTCATCCAACCACAACAAAATTTGGACTCTAAGTACACAACAAAATGTATTTAAAAGCTAAAGAGCTTTAAATAATAAAAGCTGAGACAAATTCTTGCTGTTCTGGTCGGCTGTCGCGGCCAAACCTTCCCTGAAACACTTAAAGCTGTTTTCTTCAGTCGAATGGGAAATCAGCAGATTCGTTTTCTCTCTCAAGGACGTTTCGACGGTCCAGGCACGGACTAAAGCGTGACGTTTTTGTTCACGACACAGCTTTGGTTTATCTGCCAGCCTTTTCACCGTCTCGCTCTCTGTTTCGGAGCAGCTGGTTTGAGATTTGTGCTGCTCGCACGCCGTCCTGTAACGCAGACCCAACAACAGCCCTGCAGCTAAATTCCAGCTTGTATTGTCCAGACAGAGTGGACGGCGGCTAATCGTTGTCCATCCAGTCCGAGGCTGAGCAGATGTTAGCCGGGCCTTATCAGCAAGCTCCACAAAGGGGCTGAGGGTGAAGTGGAGCGGAGGGAGCAGCTCCTCAGGGAGGCAGCTAATGATCCTCCCCGCTGACGGAGCCTGACACTGGGCCTGAGGCGAAGCCACAACTGCCTGCCTGTCTGTGGAGGAGCAGCAGCCACCGTGTCATTTCAATAAAACAGAATAAACTTCATAGAAAGCACAAGTGCACACAGCCGGTGACAAACTGGCTCATTAGAATTCAGGGAGGAAGAAGACGAGTGGCTTGAAAATGAGACAAATAACTGCAAGGTCGCTGATGACGACGGCTGCAAACGGGAATAATTACTGCTGTCAGTCTTCGGCTGCCGCTGACACAGASTCTGCTTTGGTTACATCAAAAAAGCTTCGTACACCTACAGCTGCGTGGTGCAGATGATCAGAATAAACTGCTCCACAGATTATTCCTGTGTCACGTGTTCAGATTTCACAATGAGTCTGACTCGACACGAAATGCTCTGTGGAAAYGAAGTGAGCGCTGAACGAGTTTCCTGCAGCTAAGAACACAAACTAAAAAGAGCAAAACACATCATAAAAGATAAACATCGTGGAAAGCTATGTAGCTAGATGTTCAAATGTCCCGCTGATGGTAAAAGTAACTGAAAACAAGCTAAAAAATGACTAGAAAAATGACTAGAATGTAAAGTAATAGAAGACTAGATTAAACTATAAAACTACAAAAAGTAGAGAAACACTAAATGTAACAAATAGCTATAAAAGTTAATCATTAAAAGCTAAAAGTGGCAAAATAATAGCTTGATGTTAAAATGTTTTAGCTGAAAGTAGCTAAATAAACTAAAAGCAAAAAAGATTGGTTAGAAATTAAAGTAATAAAAGGCTAGAACCTAAACATGGCTGGCAAATAATAACAAATGGCTGTAAAAAGCTTAGTTAGTTAGTTAGTTAGTTAGTTA